CTGATCTGGTCTAGTCAGAACTGGTATGGTAATGTCTGGTCTCTTTGTATTTTTATAACTATCCAAGTTTGGTCTGGTCTGGTCTGATCTAATATGGTCTAGTCTAGGACATATTACAGTCCAAGTAAAAACATCCTAACTACCCTAGATGAATTATTAGAGACAATCATCGATTGAGTATTCGAGAGAGGATAAGACAAAAAATATAATTGGGATCGACTAAACATATCAACAAGTGGAAAGTAACAAATTCAAGTTCTTTTTATCATTAAAGTGAAACACATATAAGTTGTTCATCTTGGTTATTTAATTAAATTAAAGCACACAATCCCCAAAAAACCCTTTTAACTATTAGTTCATTGAAAGAAAATTATTCATTTCCCTGTGGATATGAACTCTACTATACTATACTACGTATACGCGTTTGTATTGAATTTATTTTGAGACACATACAACTTTAGTGTCGTCAACTGTATTTTGTTGGAAAAAAGATTTTACAAATTATATAATATTTGTAGAAAATCATTTTGAAATGAATGAGAAATTATATCCCGAAATTCACTCCGAAGCAATGTTTGTGTAGGACATTTCAAACACACCACAGAAGCCTCTTCAACAGCACCAAAAGCCTCCGTAAGAGATTGAACTCTCGTTTTTACTGAAGATGAGTCTTTAAATGGTATAAGGCTATTCCCTGAATTCCCATTAGCTTCAAAACACTATGGAGTGGCTTCTGGCTTCTTCCCACACGTAATTTTCTCGGTAGCCGAGTTCAACCGCACGAGAACCCCATTTCAGAATTCAATCTCATCTCACTCACGGCCATTTCAGAGCGTAGCAGCACCAAAACCTCATCAACAACCATTACAACATCACCAAAACATTCTCAACAGTCATGAGTTCAAACACACCAAAGAGGCCTCCTCAACAGCACAAAAAGACTCCGTAAGAGATTGAGCTCTCACTTTTGATTTCCTACCAAAGCCTCTGTTGCAAGGAGCTTGAATGTGTTGATGAACTCATTAAAAAAATGAGTGCAGCTTCAGCACAACTTATTGCAATTGCCTCTAAATAACCTTGAACATGAGTCTTTAAATGGTATAAGGTTAATCCCTGAATTCCCAGGCAAAACAATCTGGAGTGGCTTTTTCCTACCAAAGCCTCCATTGCAATGATCTTGAATGCGTTGATAAACTCAAAAAAATGGGTGCAGCTTCAGCACAACTTATTGCAATTGCCTCTGAATCACTCTGAAGATTAATCTTTGAATGGTATAAGGCTAATCCCTGAACTCCCATTAGCTTCAAAACACTCTAGAGTGACTTCTGGCTTCTTCCCACACGTAACTTTCTCAAAGGCTGAGTTCAACCGCACGAGAACCCCATTTCAGAATTCAACCCCATCTCACTGACGGCCATTTCAGAGCGCAGCAACACTAAAGCCTCATCAATAGCCATTTCAAAAGCACCAAAACCTCCTCAACAGCCACGAGTTGAAATACACCACAAAAGCCTTCTAAACAACCACGAGTTCAAACACACCACAAAAGCCTCCTCAACAGCACCAAAAGCCTCCATAAGAGATTGAGCTCTCACTTTTGACTGAAGATGAGTCTTTACATGGTATAAGACTAATTCTTGAATTCCCATTAGCTTCAAAACACTCTAGAGTGGCTTCTTCCCACACGTAATTTTTCCAGTAGCCGAGTTGAACCTCACGAGAACCTCATTTCATAATTCAACTCCATCTCACTAACGGCCATTTCAGAGCGCAGCAGCACCAAAGTCCCATCAACAGCCATTTCAACAACACCAAAACCTCCTCAACGACCATGAGTTCAAACCCACCAGAGAAGCCTCCTCAACAGCACCAAAAGCCTCCGTAAGAGATTGAGCTCTCACTTTTGATTCCTTACCAAAGTCTCTATTGCAAGGAGCATGAATGCGTTGATGAACTAAAAAAAAGGTGCAGCTTCAGCACAACTTACTGCAATTGCCTCTAAATAACACTCAAATTGAGTCTTTAAAACACTCTGGAGTGGCTTTTTCCTACCAAAGCCTCTATTCCAAGGAAATTGAATGCGTTGATGAACTCGAAAAAATGGTGCAGTTTCAGCACAACTTATTGCAATGCCTCAAATCATCCTGAAGATGAGTTTTTAAATAGTGTAAGGCTGATCCTTGAATTCCCATTAGCTTTAAAACACTCTGGAGTGGCTTCTGGCTTCTTCCCACACGTAATTTTCTTAGTAGCCATGTTCAACCGCACGAGAACCCCATTTCAAAATTCAACCCCATCTCACTAACGGCCAATTAAGAGCGCAGAAACACCAAAGCCTCATCAACAACCATTTCAACAGAACAAAACCTCCTCAACACACTACAGAAGCCTCCTCAACAGCACCAAAAGCTTCCGTAATAGATTGAGCTCTTACTTTTGAGTGAAGATGAATCTTTAAATGGTATAAGGCTAATCCTTGAATTCTCATTAGCTTTAAAACGCTATAGAGTGGTTTCCAGATTCTTCCCACACGTAATTTTCTCAATCCCGAGTTCAAACAAACGAGAGCCCCATTTTAGAATTCAACCCCATCTCCCTAACGGCCATTCAGAGCGCAGCAACACCAAAACCTCATCAACAATGATTTCAATAGCACCAAAACCTCCTCAACAACCATGAGTTCAAACACACCACAGAAGCCTCTTCAACAACACTAAAATCCTCGGTAAGAGATTAAGCTCTCACTTTTGACTGAAGATGAGTCTTTAAATGGTATAAGGCTATCCCTGAATTCCCATTAGATTCAAAACACTATGGAGTGGTTTCTGGATTCTTTCCACACGTAATTTTCTCAGTACCCGAGTTCAACCGCACGAGAACCCCATTTCAGAATTCAACCTCATCCCACTAACGGCGATTTCAGAGCGCAACAACACCAAAGCTTCATCAACAACACTGAAACCTCCTCAACAGCCATTAGTTCAAACAGACCACAGAAGACTCCTAAGCATCACCAAGAGTCTCCATAAGATATTGAACTTTCATTTTTGACTGAAGACGAGTCTTTAAATGGTATAAGGCTAATCCCTGAATTTCCATCAGCTTCAAAACACTTTGGAGTTGCTTCTGGCTTCTTCCCACGCGTAATTTTCTCAATAGCCGAGTTCAACTGCGCGAGAACCAAATTTCAGAATTGAACCCCATCTCACTAACAGCCTTTTAAGAGCACAGCAACACCAAAGCCTCATCAACAGCCATTTCAACAGCACCAAAACTTCCTCAATAGCCATGAGTTAAAACACATCATAGAAGACTCCTCAACAGCACTCTGGGGTGGCTTCTGGCTTCTTCCCACACACAATTTTCTCAGTAGCCGAGTTCAACCACATGAGAATCCCATTTCAGAATTCAACCCCATCCCCCTAGCGGCCATTTCAGAGCGCAGTAGCACCAAAGCCTCATCAACAACCATTTCAACAGCGCCAAAACCTCCTCAACAACCACGAGTTCAAACACACCACAGAAACCTCCTCAACAGCACCAAAAGCCTTCGTAAGAGATTGAGCCCTCACTTTTGATTCTCCCATCGTCAACAGTGAGGCAGGCTAGCGGCGATGTGAAACAGGTTGGTCCGGCAGTGGTGACCCAAACACCTTCTCTTGATCCGTCGTACAACCAGACGTGTAGCTAGGAAGTAACCCAGTCTTTCTGTCCCGTAACTTCAGTAGTGCTCTTTCTCGGCGTGAAGTTCAGTCAGGCAGCAACTCCGGCGAGTCTCGCTTCTGTTTGGGTTCAGCAGTACTACGACGACGAGTTTGGCGGCAGCAACCTGGTCTGGCGGCACAACAACGCGGTCCATACTCTTCCAGTGACACAGTGGCGTTCGTTCCTCCAGTGGTCTGCAATGGTACTCCGGCGGATTTCTCGGCGGGGTTCGTCCCCTTCTCTTCTCCCTTTCGCCCTCGCAGACCTCCCCTCTCTCTTCCCCTTCGTCTCTTTCTTTTCTTTTTCTCGTCTCTTATTTTTCTTTCTTCTCGATTGTGAACGATACACGAAGTATACGTAGTATATATATACCCAGATTCTAGTTGTCCAGGTTTCGTATCTTTTTCATGTGAGGTTTTATCAGATTAGCTTTGAAGTGCGAATAATACGCAGTCACTCTTATATGATGAATCACAATCTCCTTGTTTAACTACATCACATGTGCGAGTATATCACAAGTCGTACATTTCTTCCGCTTCAGCCGGAGGATTGTGAGTTGGGTATTTTTTTGCCTCATCTGATTAGCCACCAGTGCATGTGGGTTTGCTGGCAAGGTTCATTGTATCATGCATGCTACCCATATTATTACTGCGTACTACTACCTGCGTCCCTATTATCTTTTATTATACAAAGGGAAAATGAAAACTGCACAGTGTTCCCGCCAAAACACTGTGCAGTGGTAATGGGCCAGATCTGTTAAAAATGGGTCCAAAATCAATCAGGCCGCATCTCTCTTTTGCTGCTCAGTTATTTGTAAATGCTGTCTTTTGCTGCTCTGGATTATTGTTGATTAAATGCTTTAGTTATAATAAAAAATTGGGAGCACAGTTCTTGAAATTTCACAGACCACACATTTACACTTTTTGCATTTCTTGAGCCACACAACATTAAATGCAAAGTACTAACTATAATGTTGTCTATTGCAGCTCTAAAAATCACTTTTTTTACATTATTGGGTCAATGAATAAAAGTTGAATAGAGTGCCTTATTTATAATAAAAAAACAGGGATGATTAGTACTCGAAAATCCCAGGCCACACTTTTGGTCTTCTTGCATTTCTTGAGCCACACAACATTAAATGCAATGTACTAACTAGATTAATTAAAGGCAACTTCACATATTATGGATGTACTATCAAATCTCCAAGTACAGATTGTGTGTGCGGACCAATGATTATTACATAAATTGTTATACAACACTTTCACCCTTTCCCAATATAAATACCCATTGCAGGTTTCAGAATCCACACCACAGCCAAGCTAATCTCTTTTACATTCTTTGTATTCTTAAGTTTCCTGAGTGATTTGTGAGCCATGACAGGATCCTCAACACAAAGAGGCATGTGGTCCCTGATCAAAGATGTTGATCATACCAAGACCACTTGGGCCTTAAAGGTGAGGGTGGTCAGGGCATACGAAGTCCCACCACACTCAAAGGGGGGGGGGGGGGGGGGGCACTGGAGATGGTGTTGCATGATGAACAGGTACTTCAGTGTCTTCTCCAAAATCTAAGTGTATTCACAGATTCTAATTTTTCTATCCAAAACACAAAATATCTTATTATCATAGTATTTCTATTATAATCATTTTTATTATTATTATGTTCACAATGCTTACATTTTGATATTTAGGGAGACCGCATTCACGCTATCATAAAAAGGCCACAGGTCGAGGTTTACAAAACCATGATCAAGGAACACAAAATTTGCGCTCTAAGGACGTTTTTGGTCCTAGACAACTACCAAACTGTCAAAACAAGGGACCATCCTTATCTGATTCAATTCATCAGCAAAACTCAATTCATTGAGGACACTAGGACTGTGTTGCCAATGATGGTGTACGACTTTCAGCCATTTGACATGTTGCAGGCTCAACGCGTCATCAACGACAAAAAATTGATTGGTGAGAACAACCAAAATTTTATGTTTTAATTTACAGAAATAAATATCTTATGCTAAAATTTGGCTGTAGATGTCATTGGGAAAGTCATATGCAAGAGCGGTGTTCAAAACCACATCATCAGCGGCCGAACTGAAAGAATGATGGAGTTGACATTAGGAGACCCTGAGTGAGTTTTGTTTAAACATTCTCATACCATCTAAACTTAAGAGAGAAATGATTTTGGAGCACGAACAAAATTTAATGTTAAGTAACTTCTATAAATTGTAGAGGGAACAGACTCGGATGTGTTTTGTGGAACAAGTACATAGACCAGTATATGGAGTTTGTGACCGAAAATGTTGGTGTGCCTGTGTATGTAATTTTTCAGCTGTGCAGGCCAAAGAGATACCAAGGTAATAGGTTTTGTAGTGCTGTTCATGACTACTGCTATTAGACCAAAAATCAAAATTGCCCGATTAAAAAAAATTAATTACTCATGACAGGCACCCTATCTGTGTCATCTTCATTCGATGTGTCAAAACTGATCATCAATGGGAGGTCAAGCGAGTTTACTGAATTTCAAAGCGAGTAAGAACTTTTTGTAAAGCAGGCATTATAATGAAGGCTTCTAAAAACTATACTCATAATGAATGGGACGCTGTGATACAGATTTCCTTCCGACGGTGATGACAGTGTCACAGCAATAACCATCACACTATCTTCCAACGGTGATGGGAGCCGCGAAGATGTCCTTGCGGGCCAGGCTGTCATAACGACAATTCAGGATTTGGTTAAGGCTACAGAGGTGTGTACACGATGACCTATTTTTTTATGTGACCACACTTTAAACACTCATGTGAAATGTTGTGTTTTTAAACAGGATGGGGTTTACTGGATCATCGGAGACATTGTATCTCTTGAAAACTATAGAGAATGGTGTTACTTAGGCTGCCCAACATGCCACAAAAAACTAAAACCAGAAGATGATAGGTTCATGTGTACCAATTGCCATGTCACAATGGCAGATGGAGTGTATCGGTAAGGGAATTAGGATTGTATGTAACTATGATTTGTATGAATGGACTGCACTGTAAATATTTGACGTTTATTTTTTTAGGTACAAAGTCAGCATTTGCATCATGGACCAGACTGGTCATTCAACCTTTATTTTGTGGGACAGGGAATGTATTGAAGTTTTTGGAAAAACATCTGCTTTTCTAATGGCTGAGATGGAGAAGGCAAAAACTTGATTTCAATTTAAATTTTATATTACGAAAATTAGAAAACCGTATGATTAATGCAATATGTTTGAATAAAACAGAAGACTGAAGACCAAACTAGATTTCCAGAAGACATAGAAAGCTTGGTAGACCAAAAGGGCCTGTTTAAAATTCAGTTGAAGACAAAAAGTGAGGAGAATACTTACAAGAAAACAAAGTCATTTACTGTGGTGACAATGATACGGGACCCTAAGGTTCTGGCATTATATGAAACGGATAAGGAACAGATATCAGTTCATGACACTCCAACTGCAAAGGTATTTTCAATAATTTTCGAGTTTACAGAAATTTTACTTAAGGGTGCTTCATAGTGAAAGTTTATTTTTCTATGAAATTTAGATTGGGTCAAGTCTCAATGATGGTGAAGGTTCTACAGCAAGGAAAAAAATGAAAGATGTCCAAACACAAGAGGTATCCGGACTGTAATACACTTATACATCTTCTATATAGGTACCGTTATATATTAAACAGATATTCTTATATTGTTTGTTAAAAAAGGTTGTTGAGGCAATTGACCTCCCGGACTCACCCCCACTGGGTACACAGAAGGAGGTGGAGGTGGAAATGGATGGACAACTGAAAAGGAATCTGATAGATGAATTCTCTACAAGTGGTGCCGGGAAGAAGCTGAAGATAAAAGTCAAAGAAGAACCGCTCTGAAAAAACAACGGCCAGTCTGTTGGTCGGGACTTATATTTTGTACTAAGACAGTCTTGGACTTATATTTTGTTTTGCGGTGTTAGGTTGTAGCCTAAAACACTATCTTGGGCATCATTATGTACTGCTTTCAGGAGGGATGACAAACTAAGCATGACACCATAGTTCTCCCATGGGAGCCAAGTACTAATTTGAATGATGGTATTATCTATATGATGATGTTAGATGTTTATTTTGCAGGACAAAGGCAACATCAGCTGTTTGTGAGAACGGATTTGAAAAAGTTACTTCAATGTTTATCTATAGGGATAAAAAATGACTGTCTGCAGGTCCTATGAATTTTATTTTCAGGTCAATGGAGTACATAAGGATAAGGATGAGGCTAAGGTCAAGGGCAATGGACCTTCTAAAGTCCATTGAGGGGATCTATGAGGCACTATGCATGATTTGTATTAAGTTGAATATGTAAATATTATTGTTGTAAATCAATGGTTTTAATGGAAAAGTGATATTGGTTTTCCACTTGATGTGTTTGAATATTTCATATGAATAGACATTTATAGGGCTGAGCACGGATCTGGGAATTCCCGTTCCATACCAAAGAACCGTCCCGAACCGTTCCAGAACCGATAGAACCGGAAAAATGTAAAACCGTACCGTACCGTACCGAGCTTTTTTAATAATATGGTACGGTACCGGTTCTTAGTGAGAACCGTTCTGGAACCGTCCCGGAACCGTATTGTCCCGAACTATCCTGTACCGTCCCGAATTGTCCCGAAAACTAGTGTCAGATTATAATAATATGTTATACATAATGTTTTACCGAGTATATATAAATGTTAGTGGCCATATGTCCCGAAAACTAGTGTTATAATATACGAGTAATAATACTACGTATATTATATATAACATATTACCAAGTATAAGTGTCAGGAATCGTATGTCCATATATTACAAATATGCAATCTTGCATATTATTTGGATGTAATTCAATTATTAAGACTTGACGGCACTAAAAGTTAGCTTTAAAACAAAAACAATACTAAATGATATTAACAATGCTATGTAAATAGGGTTAATTATATTTCATGGGGGTTAATTATTTGCGAACCAAATAACACCGAAGAACCGTACCGAACCGTACCGAACCGTGCTGAAAATTGGTATGGAACGGGACAGGTTCCATATATGTGCGGGACGGTACCGGTTCTTGATTTTTAAAAGAACCGTACTTTGGGACGGGACAGGTTTTTTGAAATAACCGTCTCGTACCGTTCCATGCTCACCCCTAGACATTTATGAGTAAAAACTGTTTAAAATGCATAGATATAAAATGGCAAGTGAGTTGGGGAATGGAGTACGTACCTGAAACTGCCGCAGAATAGTACACCTGCATTTCTTATTTGGACTAATTAATATTACAGACCCCTTAAATATCTATTACAGTTACAATATTGGCAACCCTCTAAGGTCCCTGAACTATCCCTAAACATTTTTCTAAGTTAGATATCTAAGGCTCTAAGCCAAAGCATCCACATGAATCAAGAATGGTGCAATACCTGCAAACAGCATAGGTTAGGGAATGAATCACAAAAGGTTTACATACACATTTTAAAAAAAAAAAAGGTTTCAGAATTAGTGATCGAAACAGGTTAACGAAGTACTCTAAATGTGAACATAGCTTTTAAAGTTTAAGTTCGCTCCAAAAAAAAACCCAAGTAGTTTGCAAAATCTTTTATTATAAATTGTATAAGAATTGAATATAAACAATAAGCAATTCGTATAACACAAGAGAATGTTTATTTTCAGTTGAAAACCAAAGTACTCAAATTTAGTTTGTATAAATGAAAAAGCAATTAAAATATTCTTTTATAATGGTTCAACAATATTCAGATGTATATAAGAATAAATGTATTAAAAATGAGATGTAAATTTTTTTCTTGCCACTTTTTCATATATAGGCACACTTTAAAACATTTAATTATATATGTAGATTGTTATAGAAATCTGTATCGGTATGTGTGATTATTACGTATGTATACATAATAAGATATAGTAGTATATATATATATATATATATATATATATATATATTTGAATGGCCTGTGTTTGTGTGTGATTATATATGTATGTTTTCTAAAAACAATATGATATGTACATATCTATATATCTATTTATATATATATATACATGTTTAAATTATATCTGCTCAAATTAGATTGAAGTGTCACAATTTTAAAAGACACTTCAACAGTTCAAAGTTGAAACCATGTGGTTCGGGTATATATATGAAAAATTGTTTTGGAATTGACTAATGTTCATCAATTACACTGCTTAAAGTAACTAGGTACTTAAAGTAACTAGGTAATGTGAAAAATGGATTTCAAAATTACTTTTATGAGGGATACAGTATTTAGAGACATGTATGACATTAAGTTTATAAAAAAAATTAGAGAAATACATGGTTGCACTTGAGAATTTGAGCATATGTATTTTGGCCACAATAAGGTTGCCAAAAGGTATTTTGGCTTTCAATAACCTAGGTTCCCAAAGGCCATGAGTGAAATCAAAATCAAAATATCTAAAGTTACTGATTTAAATTTAAATATAAACTTTAAATTATTAATAACTTACAAAGTAGGTATATGGGAAAGTCATGAATAAACCTACCAGCACCACTGTACTAAAGAGCTGCTTGCAATTAATGCAGCTATCAACTTCCAATGTTTCAGATTGTGTGGCTCAAGCAATAATGAATTGTAAAAGTACATAGATTAACTTTGTAGTACAAAAATGAATTTTAATTTTTGGTATAGCAATCAACTTCAGCCATATAACAATGCTGCGTAAATATTGTTCTTCAAAAAATCTCAATACTCACACAAAAACATGTGAAGTATTTTTTAGCTGAATGCATATATTTTTCACGAAAATTTTTTAAAAAACATGGATCAATCCGGCATTAAAGGGTATAAATTATTAGCTTTCTCAGGAAAACAAAGATCATGTTCACGCAATTAGTATTTAAAATATATTTTCATGTTGAGTAGGACTACATTGATAGTGGCTGTTTTAAAACATATTCATTTATTCATTTATTTCCAGATCATTATTGCGTATAACTGCTACTGTTTATTCTTAAAGCAGGCACCATCAATGCAAACAGTGTAGGTCTAGCCATTAATTGTAAACAGTTCAGTATAATCACTCAAGCAACAAATACAGCTTCGGATATGCACTCTAGGATAGCTGCTAGGTCGGCTAGAATTAAATGAAGATGTACAACAAATATGATAAAATAATCTCTTTGAAGGTAACTTACCAATGGTTAATAACCAGGATTGTAAACTGAGTGCATATATAGATCGGAAATGCATTTACTCCATGCTCAGGAAATCATTTATGAGCTCAACCACAAAATCTAACCACTGCAACCTCAGAAAGGCTGAAGTATAAACTCGAAGGAGTGCAGTTCTCTTTCAAGACAAGGTATGTTTTCAAATGTCATAATACGAATTCAATATGCTCCTAAGAAAAAAAATGTTTCTAAATGTATTTAATATTCAGGAAATCAGTGTTAATACATGTGTTTAAAGGCATAACAACAAGTTTATGAAAAAATATCAAGATTCGTCTGTCCATATGACACCGTTGTTTATGAAAACTCATAACAGCAAGTTTAAATTGTAAAGGCCATGCCTAGGCAAGTCCAAGACAATAACAATTAATCTGATATACTTGATAAACATATGGGCAGAATGGTTATCAAGTATAATTAGGGTCTCGAAGTTGAGAAATCATAATCGGATTTTAGAAAATGTTTACAAGGTATTTCAAAGAATATGGTATTTAGGTATTACACTTTTTAAGGATCAGAAAATAGGGTTTTCCAGAATCATTGAGAATCTATATACAAAGCTAGGGTTTGAATGTATGTTTTCCACCCTGCCCGGAAAATGAAGTCTGTTTTGAAAAACATGTATTATCATAACATATAAGTTTGGGGATGATTTAAAAGAATATTTAAAATTTAAAAAATATTTCATAATTTATAATATAAGGAAAATATTTACAAAGTTTATAAAATATTTCGTGGAAGAAGTTCTTATAGTATAACAATTTTTCTGTATTATAAATTCAGTTTCCCAGAATCATTGATAATATATGTATATGTATATGTATATCTATATACAAAACTAGAATTTGGCAGTCTGTTTTCCAGAATACCCAGAAAAATATGTCTGTTTTGATAAACAACGTGTCATCATCACAACAATATATGTTTGGACATGGTTTAAATCTGTTAAAACATGAATTGAAAATGTCAAACACACTAAACAGTAAGATTTGAGATCCTCGGATATCACTCAGACTTACTGGAAATTTCAAATACAGTAGGTCTTAATTTACAAATACAAATCATTGATTATTGAACACCGAACAAATAAGGGAAATACCAAAGCGTGGTAAATACAAAAGCATGGACAATACATCTGAGATCCTTTGTTTATCATCACTCAGGCGTCGTCTCATTCATGCGAATGATAAAAACAGTTCGCAAAAGCCAATGAAAAATACATTCAAACTCTTAGGTAACACGTATAATGTCGGTTTTAAAAAGAAAAAAATAGAGTAACTACAGATCTACTATAATCTGCAGGTATTATTTTGAAATCATACAGATCTAAAGCTTCAAAATAGAAATCTGATTAGGTCTGAGATTATTCTGTATCACTCAACCTAAATAGAAAATGAATACATAAAAAACCAATAAAAATACCGATATGAAGAACGAGACATGTGATTTTGCTGAAACATGCCTTACAAACGATACTTACCAAATCACAAAAAGCCGGGAAAATACCATTACGAAGAAAAAATAAAACAGATCTGAGAAGTTTAGATCGTTACTCAGAGTTCTTAGCCGTAGGGTTGGTCAAATAAGACTTCATCGGCGTAATCACGGACTGTAAGGACGCTGGAAGGCATTTGCTCAGTTGATGTACACATCGTTCTTCCTAGACTCTAAGCAGAAGAGGTGGTTTGCGGTGTGAAGCGTATGAAACGCGCAGAGTGTAGAGAGTAGAAGGTTTGAGAGAATGGCCGAATGGTCTGAGAAGGTGGCCGAAGGGTAATGGATTTATCCTTTGGGTAATGGATATTATATAGGATGGGTTAGGGTTTGTGGTTGTGTTGCATTAATGGTGCGATTGGGCTGGGATTTATTTCTAT